ACAATTTGCTACTCTAAAAGTATACTAATCTTCAATGTAAAGAAAACTCAACATGTGCAATATCATCGTTGCAACCATGGCCGCGTTTCGCCACGTTCATACGCTACCAAGTGCGAGTTTCCCTCGTTCCGACTTACACTAACGTTACCTCACTTTGGTGTATCAAAATCTAATAGCGAAACATGCACATTAGCGCCAATCATTATTGTGTGTTCTACTCAAAATTTCCACGGGCTGTTCTTAAATCGCCCCGATCCGAATGTCTGCGAAATGACCTCACAGTCGATAATAAGCACCCCATTATGACGCTGTTTCGTGAGCTGAGTCACTGGACGAGCACTAACACCTGAGCGCATAGGCCTCGTATGAGAGTCTCTACGTATGCCCAGCACATACGCACACCGAATGTGTTCACACAGATATTTCAAGTACACCAACTGGACGCCCGCGCTACCACAGCCTGCGACTACACCTCGTCGTACTGCCCAGGCAGTTGTGGAAAACTGAGTTTGATGTCCAATTTCTGCCCAAAAATCGAAATTCTATCCAATCAAACAGTATCATCGCGGCTGTTTGTATGCGATTTTCACAATGGTTCACAATTGGCTAGTTTAACCGGAAAGCACAATACCTTCTCATATTACCAGAGTTCAACTTGATCAGTATTAGTAAGGTCGCCACAGTCTTGGTATGGCTTGAATGTGCTAACTCGTCCTGCAAAGGTGTCGACAAGGCAACCATGTTGGAGGTTTTACATCCTGCATATTTAGGACCTATTTTAGTATACTATTTATATTACGGGTATACAAACTACAAGTATGTACTATAATTAAAGTTGCATACAAAAAATAGATTAAAAAGTAAGATAATATGAAATGCTGCCTAAAATATGGAACAGAGTAGTACAGTATACACTAGCCAAATCACATTGAAATGTGAGTTTACTGTTAATAACCAATCACATTGATCGTAGTCACATGTGTCCAGAAATTCTCATAACGCATTGCCTGCCGAAGTGGATCTCGTTGTGTAACATACTATATATTCAATTCAGCAAACAGCATGTGCGATTCAGCAATTATTATGTGGCTCTCAGCAATTCCTATGTGGTCCTCAGCAATTCCTATGTGGTCCTCAGCAATTCCTATGTGGTCCTCAGCAATTCTTATGTGGCAATATTTTATCCTCCCCGGTGACGCTATATAGGCATATATAGCTGTTTAAAACAACTTTACGTGGGCCGATTGCAAATAGTGTGCAGGTTTGAATTATTGGTTACACAGAGCTTCGGGATAAATTATCCGGATGGTCAGATCGAACACAGCCAACAATTCGAAAATGGCTGCTCTCTCCCAGCGCTAGAACTACATGCGGAAATGGACTTGCAACATCACGGACGATGTCGCTTGTGACAAGGCGTTCCGCCACTCGAACGACGGATTCAAGGCCCATGTACAAACGGTACATGTCTTGGAATGGCCGCGCCATGGCCGTACCCTTTATGGCCTAAAGATTGACGCGCCGCCGCTCGCTCCCGTTGTGGCCCCAGAACCTCTTCGTCCTTCCGATGTCCCACTTGGTGAGGCCATTGGCCGACTCCAGGTGCTTGTGGAACACAACTGTGTTGCACAGGCCTCGTTTCTGATTCTTCTTCGTGTAGCCCGTCGCCTTGGCGAGGATATTCCGGAGCTGGAAACTCTAATTTCTTCTCTGAAGGAGCCGTCTACCGAAACCGTTGTAGAGCCAGCGGACATTCCAGCAAACCTCCGGAGCACGCGTCCATCCTCGAAGAAAGGACCGGCAGCTAAGAAAGCTAAGAAGTAATAAAGTGTATTTGACTTCGAAATGTTCTGTGTCGAACAACATCATCTCGTCTCCATGTAGTCTGTATAATGTACTATACTTCGAAGTATATGATACTGTATATAGGATACTATATCTCCTAAGTAGTATCATGTATAGCTTATATAGGGTACTATAGAGGTTGTATACGATGCTATATAGGTTATATATGATACTATATAGGTTGTATAGGAAACTATATAGGTTATACAGTATCCTATATAGGTTATATAGGAGACTATATAGGTTATATAGGAGACTATATAGGTTATATAGGAGACTATATAGGTTATATAGGAGACTATATAGGTTATATAGGACACTATATAGGTTATGTAGGACACTATATAGGTTATGTAGGACACTATATAGGTTATATAGGACACTGTATAGGTTATATAGGGAATTATATAGAGTATATAGCTTACTATATAAGGTTGTATAGGATCTATATAGGGACAATATAGTGCCTGACTACCCTATATAGCCTACACAAACTATATAGCCTATATAGTGTCATTTCGCCTTTGTATACAATACAACGACCCATACTTCTCACAACCGGATTTTCCGGATATATTCCCGCGTTGGAAATTTGGCGCCTTGATGCCATTCAAACATTTTAAACGCAACTGTACTCAAGGATGGAAGTCGTACTTGAAGCCGATGGGCCGGCGCTGGACCAAGTTGACCTCGACGGAGACTTACCCCAGGGCTTCGTACCTTACGACATGTCTGACGTAGGCGAATTTTCGTGGCATTCTATTCTAAAGGCCACCATGGACGAAGACACCTGTGTTGCATGGTGCATGAAGGTCGGTCACCTACCCAACGCCGCGACATGCCCCAAGTGTGACCTGGCCATGTCCTTCGCGTTCAAGTCCAAGCCATGGCGTTGCAGACGTGCGGCGTGTACAGGCGGCGGGAGCGTTGAGCGTGGAATGCGGTTTGCGTCGTGGTTCAAGGGTTCCAAGATCCCTATGGCGAAGCTGGTGCGACTTATATTTGCGTGGGCGTCAAGAAAGCCCGTTGGCATAGTGATTGCGGAAGAAGAAATTGCGCGTGAGTCCGGTGTGGATTGGTACCAGTACTGCCACGACCTGTGTTCGGCGGAAATGTTGTGTGCCCCGATGCTGGTATGTCTATATATTCCTATATCAATATAGTCCTATATCTATATAGTCCTATATCAATATAGTCCTATATCTATATAGTCCTATATCAATATAGTCCTATATCTTTATAGACCTACTAGTGAACGTGACCCGGCTTCGCACGGGTGGGGGTGCGTGTGATGTGAATTAGTGCTGGTTGGGGTTTGACGTGGGATAATCTAGCTTTCACGGCTACATCTGCCTCAACGCTGATTGATTCAGTAGATATAATTGTGTGATTGGTTAAAATTAAATTCTATGCTTTCAGCCAATCAAAACGTGAATTTGACGCGGCTTTGCACGGGAGGGTGTGTGCGTGATGTGATTTAGTACTGGTTGGAATGGTTGTACTGGA